GCCAAGCAACAACATCAGTTGAATAAACAGAGATTTGATGAAGAAAATAAAGAAATCAAAGATTTCAGAGTAAGTGGTGCATTACAAATATTGTAGACTGACGTTTTGGACGTTAGTCCTTTGTCGGAGTCATTGACTTCGACGAAGGACTAACGTCCTTAACGTCAGTCTACTATCTTTCATACCTACGGTGTTAAAATTATCTACTACGACACATTTGATTCAACTAAAAAACACAGATGCAGTCCAAACTAGTCGTCATCTATTACAATTATTGGTGTTAGGGTAATTTAGATTATTAATTATTGTTTCCTTTACTATGTGCTGATTGAGAGGAAACTATTGTCTTGATCAGCACCTATAGCTGGTTTTGCATGACTGTGAAATACCTTTACACATTAGTATGCCCTACTAATGGTCTATCACAAATCCTGCGCTCTGATTGGTTGAGCTACTAGTAGTCTATTAGTGGTAGACCACTAGTAACGAAAAGTGCCAGTTAATTTGAAAACCAAAACGACTTGAAAAAGTAATTATTTCAGCCTAATTTCAAAATTGTTTGTATCCGATTTTGGACCAATCAGTAGGTTTATGCTAAAACAATTAGGCCTAATCCTCATGGCCTACAGGTCAATAGCCCATTTGGTGTTCAGCGTCATGGGCTATTGACTTGTAGACCATGAGGACTAGAGATGTAATTGCAAATTAACCTATTGCGGCTTTTGTCTCAAATCATGAGTGTGTAGCAATAAACAAATCTACAATGAAAAATTACAAATCTTTTGTCAAAGTCATTCAACTTGGCACCTATGACATGTTACGCAACCAAAAATTCTGTCTTTTACCGAACGATATTGTGACACACATGTATTTGATGTATTTATCTCAGTCAGCAGTATCAGAGCTACAAAGCTCATCTTCTATAACTGAAAAAACAAGAACTGGTAAAAAAGCATCTCAACCACCAGCAAAGAAATCTCAAATGGACCTTATTGGAGGAGCCATTAGAAGACGCAAAAGGTAAAGTGCAATGTTGCCATTCATTAGGTGTAATACYTTTCTATGTGCACCAGTGATTGTTGTTGAAATGGACTGGTAGATGTACAACCAGAGTAGAGATTGATATGGTCAATTGTATTTAATGACAGTAATTTGATTATATATAAATTAATTACCCAGAAGCTAATAATTACGAACTGCCCATGAGGGCCCCCAGGGGGTGGGGCTAGGGGGAAGAAATGCCTTAAAATGTTATAATTTGCTTAAAAATTACATCAAAACACTACATGATTTCACTCAAAGATTGGGGTCAGGTAGTCTTTATTTGCTTACAAGTATTATAACTAAGTAATAAAGCTAACTAGGCATGTACCAGAGGACATGTGCCTTACACTTTACATTGTTTGAAACGACTGTAACTGTAACTAATAATTATATAACACAAGTATAAACATAACCACATAAGATAACCATAATCATAGTCCCAACGAGCTCAGTGTTGTATGTGAGTTGAGTTGTTTGTTGGTTCTCTCCTGTGNGTTTCTTAGAATAGCTTATATTTCGATATGAAAAAGTAAAAAAAAAAGGGTGATAGGCACTTTAACAATTATTCACCATTCGTTGAGGTTATTATTCCCGATATTCACTGAGCCTGAGGCAAATAATTTTTAGTATAAATCCTTTTTTTGATTCTTTCAAAAAAAGAAAAAAAGAAGATAAAAGACACATTTAAAATTAGGGAACAGCAACAAAGCTGGCCGCCATTTTGGATTATCGCTGGAGGTGTTTATTGTGCGATAATCTGAGTTTCTCGACCAATCAGCACGCGAGATTTTCAATAATCACCTGTGTATTTATACTAAAACTAAATAATAATGCTAACTAGGCATGTACCTGGACATGTGCCTTACACTTTACATTGTTTTAAACCACTGTAGCTGTAACTCATAATTATATAGCACAAGTATAACCATAACCACATCACATAACCACATCACATAACCATAATCAGTGATTAATATCCTCATTTTTGTTCCTTCAAAGCTCAAGTAGTACGTCAGATACCACACCAGAAAAGAAACCCAAATTAGAAAAAGAGGAAAATAAATCAGATGACCAACCAAAACAAAGTTCCCCCTCTTCCTCGTCCCCTGAAGAAAAAAATCCTGGTAGTCAAACATKGTGTCCAGATGAGGAAAAACAAACCAATAACAAACTCAAGAAGGTCTTGGTACCAAGATGTCGTGTTAACAGAATGGGAGATTACAAAAGACAAGCAATTACAATCCCTGGKTTGGGATTATACTCAGACTCTAGCGATTCAGAGTCTTCATCTAGTGATTCTGAGATTGCTACTGGAACATCTTGTGTTAGATACACTGGTAGCAGTCATTATTATTAGAGATATTTTCATACTTCTGTCAACTCAGCGACTCCTAAGAACCTGTGTTGTTAGCTCCTGTTAGTAAAATAATAATTAGCCAAAAAGCATGATCAGCAATAAAGTATTCACATACTTTTATGTTAAACTGACATCCWGCTGATCTGAAATAGTGACAAAGCCTGYGAAAATTGACCAGCAAAAAATGAATACCTGTCCACCATTGCAATAAAAATATTTATTTTTTTCCGGTCCGGTATCCTAAAAAATCGTGCGTTCTGATTGGCTGTTTGAGMGGGCGGTATTTTGTCAGTATCTGCTCGCACTCATGGTCCGGTATCCTTTGTCGCTAAACAACAAAACAAAACGATTACGAAAACGAGTAAAAAAAATACGGGAAAAATATAAATAAGTTATTTACCGTCCTATAGTCGGTCCGGATAGGGAAAAACTGTGCCCTCKGTCTTGAAAACGGGCCTCGGTCCGTATATTCAAGACCTCGGACACAGTTTTTCCCTATCTGGACCTCCTGGSCGGTAAATAACATATATACATTAGAGTGAAGTCATTAAACCCGTGAAATAGGTATTAGACTAATACACTTTAGTAGTTCTTAATTCCATTGTTTTCTTTTGTGTCTTTTTGACTATTACATGTTGACTATGTAAATTTTATTTCACGAATTTAATGCCTTCACTCTAACTAATCACACCTTTTGCTGTTCATTAACCGCAAAGGAATATTCATTCAAGCGAAAAAGCATTATCATTAGCGCGAAGAGGCACACAATAACGCGAACGGAGTTTCAATAGTGCGATGGAACTTTCATTAAGCAATTTAGCATAACATTGGACAATCATGAATATGTTTGTGCAGGTTCATTAGCGTTTTCGAAGTTTCATTAGCGCCTTTGTGCAATCAATAGACAAAACCACACATTTAATAACGGTTTTTGGACATTCATTAGCGCAATACATTATTACTTTACTTTTTACACGGGAATTGTAGGATTTTAGCTTTCTTTACATTATTTACAACCGAATGAATATAACCGTTCTTTACAAAGAAAACATGGCGTTAGGTATTGAAGAAAGAAGTGTATTTATCCTTGAATWGCTTCTCTATTCATACATCTGGGAAGATAGGTTTGCATGTGGTTGTACCACTGCATGCATTTTTGTTGCGTGATAACATTCATGTTTCTTGTAGTTGCTCTAAGAAGCAATCTTTTTCTTAGCTCTCCGAGTGGAATGCCTTGCCTTCTTGCTTCTCCTCTGTCTCCCATTAAACGTTGCTGGTCGGGACGTGACAAGTGAGCCTTTATAGCTTCCTTTAAGCAGGYAATGGCCTGCTCCACTATATTGAGAAATGGACTGTAAGCTGGCAGGGGCTTCAGCTCGCTATTGGCACCAGGATTATTGGCATTACGATGGGCAGGTGCATTGTCGTAAATGAAGAAAACTTGGTCGTTAGGGGGAAGACGTTGGTGGGTTTGAGCTAAGAAATCATGGAATCTCTGGGCGGTCATCCCTCCTATTTGGGCGGAATGGTGCACCAAACCAGATCTTGGTGATATGGCAAGCACAATGGTGACATTTGGCCCTCGTTGTCCGCATACCTGTCTGTAGGCCCTCTCGCCTACTGTTGCTCGGCCATAGCTCCTGGCAGTCCAAATATTGTAGCCGCATTCATCTATAAATACGCAATGTCCATCCACGCCTGTGTTGAGAAACCAATTGGCGTATTCAAAACGACTTCGAATCACATCTGGGCGATTTCTATCAACTGGCAAAGGTCTGGCTAATTTAAGACTTAAAAGCATACCGTCAAGTGCCCTTCCTACCGTACGGTCATGAATTTGAGTTTTTCTTGGAAGTCTTCTTCTAAGTTCTCTGTTGATTTCATTYAGGGTCAGCATGCAATTATCGTCTATTATGTCGTTCAGGGATTGTTTCATCTCGTCGTCTACTTTTACGTTGTTGCGTCCACCTCGTGGTAGCTCTTCTACTCTGCCCTCACGAATGTACCGTGTTATGATACCCCTGGCCGTAGAACGGTTTACTCCCAATGTAGCAGCAACCATTAGATAATCTTCAGTGGGGTCTTCATAGGCCCWCACAAGACGCTCTCTKACTTCATTCGAAATTCGGTTTCTTCGAGCAGCCATTGCAAACAAGAGGGAATGCAACTAGTGAGTTGATATTTATACCTAACGCCATGTTTTCTTTGTAAAAAGTAAAGTAATAATGTATTGCGCTAATGAATGTCCAAAAACCGTTATTGRATKTGTGGTYTTGTCTATTGATTGCACAAAGGCGCTAATGAAACTTCGAAAACGCTAATGAACCTGCACAAACATATTCATGATTGTCCAATGTTATGCTAAATTCCTTAATGAATGTTCCACCGCGTTCTTGAAACTCCGCTTTTTATTGTGTTCCTCTTCGCGCTAATGATAATGCTTTTTCGCTTGAATGAATTTTCCTTTGCGGTTAATGAACAGCAAAAGGTGTAATAGTTTTCGTGGTACTGTCATCAACCTCTTATTAGCATTTTTTTCATTTGGTGCCCTGGAAATCTATAAATTCAAGAGGAAAAGTGACTCCTCAGTTTTGCAAAATTTCTCGATTCTGATTGGCTAACATTTTCTCTCARATCAGCTGGATATTCTGATGCGAAGATGCTATTTTTACCAAATGGGCATGCAATATCTTATTTGGCAGTAAACAGCCTGTGAATAAAGTATGCAAGTACATTGAATGTGGTCTACTTTGGCACATTAAACTGCAAAGGAGTGAAAGCAAAAGGAATTTAGCTTTTCCTGTCTGGCATCTTGTCTGTCACTGTCAAAATATGAAGTTAATTGTCAATGAAGCATATTATTTTTTACTATACATGGYCACTAAGCACATTAGCACATCTGCTTGGTGTCCATGAGTGTATAAATTTGGGCATGAGTGTTAAATGAGAAACAAAAATTTATGGMTGTACATCTAATTTTTATTTTCCTTCATCCTTGGTAACTTAACCCAGGGGTAAAAAATTCTGTCATTTTTTCGCTATTAGAAAAAATACTTCCCAGTCGTCAGGTTTATTTCTTGTTTGAGTAAGTGAACACAGTTTTGTACTTGCCATCCTTCAGTAAAGGGCAAATATTGCCCTCCATTCTCAATAATATATCTACACTTAGTTGAAAACTGTCATTGCCATTCAGCTGTTGAAGAGTTCACGAGACCATGGGTTATAGATAGCAACCATATTTGTTCCAATGGCATGACCACAGTTCTCATCAAATGTCATATTATTTCTGGATAGTACTGGCCAGCCAGAATTCAATAAAGTTCCTTATTCCATAGTTTTGTTACAGGAAAAGTTACTATATGCAATATCCTATGAAATTCTGTTGCTTGTAACAGTAACACAGTAACACCATGTGCTAATTCCTTAAGATAATGTAGTTCATGACCACAAGACAACTAGCTTTACTGGTAATTCAAAACGTCTATATTTTTGCTTCCAATTAAATTTTCAACAGTCTTAGTACTTTATTTATTAGTGGATTCCAAAAACCAAGACATCCAAGGCTATAATGTTTATGTGTGAAATGGGTGCAATTTTTCTCTAAAAATTTCAACTAAAGCAAGAAGAAACAATAACATTGTGAAATATGTTTTATTACTGATAACTTGTTTTACACCAGACACACACAAAAAAAAAACACTTATCGATGTCAAAATAAAGGGATTGTAAACAGTTTCAACAAGTTAGATATAAACACTCAGGCTTTGATTATGATCTGTACAAATAGATTGAAAGACTAATAATTTTTACATTCATTTGTTTTAATGTTTTCTCTAATCTGTTTTGTAGTTTGCATAATCCATCATTTCCTTRTACCATTGTTCTTCTTGTGGAAGCATCTGTAAAACCTTTGAAAAACAAATTATTAACAAATTAAATTAATAACAAATCACAGTTTATGGAAAAGAAAAACTGGAAAAAATTGCAACGAGGGTCAAAGGACCCATGTAAAAGTGCCAAAAACTATCTATTACCAGGACTAAAAAAAACAGCTCTTTCTTGGTGTTAAGCCCCGTTCACACTAGCGATTTTTCTGCGATTTTGTTTATAATAAATAATGGTAAAGAATATACTTGTAAAGTTTTATTCAGGATACCAAGATTTTCCTAGAGGAATGTCTCTTTTAAAGAATGAGACAAAAGATTTCATATTTCCGAAAATTGCCACAAAAATCACAGCAAAAATCGCCAGTGTAAACGGGGCTTTACAAGATGTATTGTATTGTATTCTGGTTTGCCATTCTTTGTATTGCAGGGTATTGTTTAGCTATAAACTCATTGTTCGTGGCTATTGTTTTATTGTCCTTATGACTCAGGTGCACTGCAACATCAATAAAGAGCCAAAATGGCTGCTAAATGTGAGGATTTCATTAAAGTTTCAAGTTGGTGGACGGTTTAATTAATTAGGCAGCTGTATCAAATAATAAACACCTTTATTAACATGTACAATAGGCAAGGTGCAAGAGCACGAATCTTTAGCACAAAGCGTGATGGGAAACCGAGTACTTCACAAATCAGGTCAAGAAAATCAATAAAATTATCAGGAAAAAATTACTCTGTTATTTTCATCTGTTGAAATAGTTTCAGTTTAATAGAAAATGTTGAAAGAAAAATTGTCGAAGGAAGTATTGGAGGACCAAAAAAACTATAAGTACTTGGTTTCCCATCATGCTTTGTGCTAGAGATTTGTGCTGATGCACTTTGGCTATTGGGATGTGAAATGGCAAAAGCAGCCAGCTCAGGTATAAAAAGTAGGCACCAGAGTTTGCCAGTCAAAATGTAACTGGTCAATAATGCATGTTATATATGGAGTTATCTGGGCTGCCAAAACATGAAAGATGCTTTAGGAATACACTGTACTAGGTAATTTGCTTACATGAGGGGCTGGTGGAGTGTTTCTTTCCCATTTGGAACCATCAGGGGCAGTAGGGTCTAAAAAACAATAATATAACACAACAGTTATATTGATGGTTTTCACAGCGGCCATGTTGGAGGAACTTCACAAAAGAATATTGTCAATGAAACCTTTTGGTATATCCTCCAACATGGCCGCCGTGTCTTTTGTTATTCAATTCTCTTAGGAATGGATGAAAACCATCAATGCTATCCTAACCCCTACACGACTGAAGTACTCCATATAGTACTTAGCGTCGTCTTTACTTTGGGTGTCATGTTTTCCCATTTCAGACCACGTTGTTCTCTTTAGAATTTAAAGATTCTTTGTTTAAGTCGTATCCATATTCATGTATCTTCTCGTGCACGACCATTATAAGCAAAGAAATGATACTCAAGGGAATGACACRTGGTCTGAAATGGGAAAACACTACGCTCAAAGTAAAGAGGTCTATTGGTCAACCTTGGAAGTCAAAGRTAAGCCTAGCCATTTGAAAATATCATAACAAAAAGCACAGCCTTCTACTCGGTTATGTTAGATGCACAGCAGAGAGTATGGCGGTTTTTCTAATCTGTCATCAAAATATAATTCTAAATTTTTGACTTTGAAATAGTTTATTTGATTTTTCCACCTGGTTAGCTACATGTAAGTTGAAAAAATCGCACATTTAAAAAAAATTTAGAATGAAAAGGTTTAAGATTAATGTGCTTAAAGTTTAGCAGAAAGTTAAATAATCATTGATAGTTCATTAGGAATTAGTAGAAAGCTTACTTATATAAGGATAAGGGTGCTTTCTTCTTTCAAACTCTGCCTCCGCTTCGTCCACAACAGCATTTATTACTCGACGATCTGTCTCGTCTTTGTACGCATCAAAACGAGCCCTCAGCTCTAAAGCTTCTTTCCTCCAGCCTTCACGACCTATGCACCATGATAGTAGATGCTTTAGACTGTTCCTGTATAGCCGTGTTACTCTCTGTTGATGAGTTATTCCTCTCATAAGATGAGAAGTAGAAACACCCGCCATCTTGGATTCCTCGTCCGGTCCAGCCTGCTTTGCGAGCATAGCCTCTACACAGGAAGCCCGACAAAAATTGTAATGAACGAAAGACATGGGCTGCCTGTGGAAATATACTTCAAAACCTTTGCACTTTATCGATACCCTGAAACAGCATCTGGGCTGATCACTGAAGTCAGGGCATGGCTACAAGTAACTGAAATCGAATTGGAATTTAGCGTGTTAGGTTTTGCGGAGGAGGAAAACCAAAGAACCCGGAGAAATTAAACCTCTACATCTCCAACATGACATCATCTCAGCTCTGTTTATTTGTTTTCTTCTCGGGTTTGTTTTGTCTTTTTTCTTCCCTTGCCTCCCCTTGAAAGGCGTGCTTCGTTCATTGCACGTCGCATGATAATCAACTGAACGAAAGAACAATTCTTTTCAAAATTTATCAATTTCACTGGCGTAGTACATTTTTATGTAGATGTACTTTGAAGAAGCAAAACTGCCAAAATAATAAAAAATAAAACAAAAATACAACATCAAATGATCCGTTAATTCATCTTTAATGACAACTTTTTAATGGCTTAATAACATCATAATCTTCTGTAAATCTCTTTCTCGACAAACTTTGACTCTTTCAAGTAAAATCTTTTAAATGAATCTTTCTGTTGTTTCATAGTTAATAGACATCCCTTATTTTAACCTCTTTTACTTTCTAAAAACCTTTAACCCCAAGTTTAACTTTAGCCAAGCCTCACATTAGTTCAAATGCTTCGGCTTTTCCTTTTCACAAATGTATGACAATGGAGGACGTTTTTGTACGCATGTGTCATCATTCCATGTCATAGAATCCAAATACAAATGACCGCACTTTTCCACTCCTCCGTCGTTGCTGGGTTCACCAGGTCGCCAGTTAGAATACTGATGCCCACATAGATAGGTGCCATCTATCCACATGAACTTATGGTTCTTGTCTAAAAATGTAAGAGAAGAGAGAAAGTACCAAATCAGGAATTTATAGTCTCATAGTAGACAGTGGTCACGTGTTAATCAGTGACGTAATTTTTAGTAGAGTTGGAGGGTGGGGTGGTGGAGCTAAATGAGTAGACTCTTTGACTCTGTATGGAATATTGAGGTCTGGGGTGTTGCATATCAACGCGGAAAGTACTTCAGTGGACATGATCGACAGCTTCATCAAAAGAGCATGCAGATTGGGCCAGCAGAAGGATTTCAACAATATCGGAGAGAGTCTCGCAACAATAATCAAAGATGATCATGTTGTACAAGACCGTACTTCCGCCAAGGAAAAAACGCGTACATGTGAGCACCAACATATATTACCACAAATATTTGCCTTCTGGAATTATGCACATTTACTAACTTTAATTTCAGTTGGTAACTAAACCATTCCCCAATGATAACGTGAACATCTTTTTCTGGCATTTATCATTATACTAGTAAGACTATACCTGCAACAAGTCCTATCCAAAGGTAGTTATTGTTTTTCGGAATTGTACGTGCAAGAAGCGCCACGTAGTTGTTTTCTTGTGCAGAGTCGATTTTCACAAGATCCCCTCCCATTGCAAAACATGCTTTTCGTGCTTCAATCCACTTCTTTGTCGTTCCTCCAAGACGATAACAGGACCTTGAGCCTTCGTATGTTAGCCACCCATTTGGACAGGACACTGGAATGAAAACGATTTCCATCATGCTAACATTAATAAACCGGATCAGAGGACTATTAAGTATTCTCGAGCTCCGTCATGCAAATCAATACTGCTATTTCGAAAAGGTCGTCTTTAGAATACTGCTTGTTTTGTAAATATTATATTGAATGTAGTGGTAGCGTATGTGGAGCGAACCTCACTGAAGAACCCCCATTTCGGGATCTGTCATGGTTGAAACATGAAATTTATAGCGCTGTGACCAGATCAATGCAAAGCAGGGCAAAGATAAAATATTCGTTATATTTAAAANCAGAGCCCTAGTTCTTCGCCGCAGGCCAGAAGAAACGAAGGCTCTGGGTACGAGATTGACGCTATGTGACAATGACAATGTTTTGTTTGATTGCAGACGCATGCGCCGTAAAACAATGACTGTGTACCAATATATTTGGTGGGAGCACGTGCCCCCCGGCCCCCCCGCTTCCGCCGCCTTGAGCAGAAGGAGCTCAACAATATCAGAAAGACTCTCGTAACTATTTAAGAAAACAATCAAAGATGATCATGTTGTACAAGACCTGCTTCCGCCAAGGAAAACACGCGTACATGTGAGCGCCAACATATATTACCACAAATACTTGCCTTCTGGAATTATGCACATTTACTAACTTTAATTTCAGTTGGTAACAAAACCATTCCCCAATGATAAAGTGAACATCTTTTTCTGGCATTTATCATTATACTAGTAAGACTATACCTGCAACGAGTCCTATCCAAAGGTAGCTTTTGTTTTTCGGAATTGTACGTGCAAGAAGCGCCACATAGTTGTTCTCTTGTGCAGAGTTGATTTTCACAAGATCCCCTCCCATTGCAAAACATGCTTTTCGTGCCTCAATCAACTTCTTTGATGTTCCTCCAAGACGATAACAGGACCTTGAGCCTTCGTATGTTAGCCATCCATTTGGACAGGACACTGGAATGAAAACGATTTCCATCATGCTAATATTATTAATCCGGATCAGAGGAATCAGTTTGTCCTATTAAGTATTCTCCGTCATGCAAATCAATACTGCTATTTCGAAAAGGTCGTCTTTAGAATACTGCATGCATGTTTTGTAAATATTATATTGAATATAGTGGTAGCGTATGTGGAGCGAACCTCACGAAAGAACCCCCATTTCGGGATATGTGGTTGAAACATGAAATTTATAGCGCTGTAACCAGATCATGCAAAGCAGGGCAAAGATAAAATATTCGTTATATTTAAAAAACTTAAAAGTGAAATATGCATGCGACATCATGAATATCAGCTGTATCAACTCTAACTCTTTTTAGTCCATGCATAGTGATACGAGGGAGGAAACACACGCCGAATAAAAAACCCTAGGAAGAGAGAGAGAGCAGCAGATCAAACACGGTCAAACCACTCCGTCATGAACAACATGCACAATGGGTTTACTTCAAAAATTCTATTGGAAACGCAAATTCGGTACAAGTCCGTCAGTAATCATCACTTTTAAAGCAACATTTTTCAAAAAAGCTGTGAAGTCAAAACCATTTTTTAAGAAAACCTGCACATTTTATCGAATCTTGAAAAATTCTGAGCTGAAGGGAGGAAGACGACGTAGGACCTAGAGAAAAACCCTACTGGCAAACAATCAGGCTTCGACTTACGATATCTAGCTGCGTTGGCTGAGGGAAGGAAAGTCGTAAAACTGACTAACAAAAAAGCCAAGAATAAAGGTAGTTTGGACATGATGACTGTCGACCACTGCGTTTGCATGATAATCACTTGCTTGCCTTGCATATACTATAATATGAGTTAAACGAACAAAACACCCCCTATCATCAATGATAAATTCTATAAATAAAACTTCTTGAATCAACAAGAATTATCAGGAATAGAATTTTATTAGCTGCGTCTGTTTTTGTTTTCAAAAGAAAAGAAAAAAATGGGTGGGATGGGGGGGGAGGTGGGTTGTCAACTATTGGCTTTGCTGCTGGGATCCTATACCACATGATGCACATCATCGCAAGGATGATCGATGTCGATGGCGGATATCAGAGGAACATGACTCAGTATTGACCAACGACAATCAGTGCAACCATTGTCAATCAGTAAGAATATATTGCGTGACCAAAACAGCTTAAGACGTTATCTGAGTTTCAATTGGGTTTCAGAAATAATAATGACAAAGATTTTAAAAGTCAAAACCCGAAAGGGAGGCCATTTGATGTCTTCCTAGGTAACTAATAGCCACCTCACTTGAAATCGTTCTGAATCCATAAATGGTATGATCCCATCTGTTACCAAGGTAACGTAATGAAATTAAGTACACGCGGAACTCAGAGATACGGCGCCAGCAGGGGACATGGCTTAATGACAAAGTATAGATATCATAGGAAAATTAGTAGAGGAAAACAGAGGCCCGAAGAAAAAAAATTGAGGCGTTTCATTGTCTTGAGAATAAGGGGTAAGGAAGAAATTAAAGGCTCTACTTCAATAGAAGAATATATTTTTTCCATGACATGGAAAATACGACCAATCATAAGGGACTGGTCATTATTTATCGAGAGGGGGGGGGGCTGGTGCAAATAGGGGTTGGGTCAGTATTTTTAATGCAGAGGTTTAAGCAAAAATCAGCAAAAATCATGCTTAAAAAGAAGGGGGGGTCAGCAAAAATCAAGCATAGCATATTTCATAATGCACCAGCCCCCCCTCTCGATAAATAATGACCAGTCCCTAAATATGAAGGGAAGCCATTGTGTAGTTCCAGAAATTATCCATACCCACCCCACAGAGGAATTTGGCATTTCTGAAGAGTTGGGTGGTCAGAGAAAGAACAAATGGAATGTATTACTATTGTTCGTATTGATAAAAAATTTATATGACAAAGTAAGCAATAAGAACAACCACAAGGATGGTCCATTAAAGAAAAGAAAAACTTATATTCTACGACGATCATATGGGGTTCTTCCATGAGGTTTGCCCCACATGCGCGCGCACTACCACTACATTCACTATCGGAACCTCACTATCGTTACATTATACAACACAACACTCAACTCACATATGGCCACTGATCGCATTTGTCAGGATGGCAAAAGGAATGTTGGATGCATCAATATTTCTAAAATTCTAAATTTCTAAACGGTAATTCTGGAATTCATGAATCATGCTCTACATTTTTCAAGTATCACACACTTATTTTAGCTTGAATCACATGTCACACATAACCCCTGTCACTGCCACCCCTAATGAAAACAGTACTTCACTCTTTGTTCCCACAATTTGGTGAATTATCCATTCCCAAGATTAATGGCATATCTCACCTATCACACATGTTTTCTTGCATAAAAAGTATAAAAAAACACCTGTAGTCTTGATGCATAAAGAAATTACAAACGACTCATTGGTATGCCATCTGAGTATCATATTAATATATATATATATATATTATATTATCTATGAAAAATAATGGTCACACATAAGTATTGGACAGTCTCTAAACTCTGTTTCATAGTCATATAACAACTCCACCAGCTGAGGTTCATGTCTTGGACCGCCTGAAAATCCACAATCTTGAAGCCTCTCTTGAGGATCAAGYTTTATTTTCTCTCCATTTTTCGTAATACAGTAAATAGATACACTTCTTGGTGTCCCACCAAACCGCTCACAAATCAGCTGAACCACGGAGTATACTGTTATGTGAGCATGGACATAAAGCTGGAAGTGTCCTGGATAGTTCTTGAGTTGAGGTAAGTTGGCAAAAGTCATGAGTTTWAACTCTAGGCTGATAAACCTTTTTTATAAAAAAAAACAGAGCATAATTAGAAATGAAAAAAAATTATCCATTGTGGGAATTGTAATTAATGATTCTTATTTATTTGTCCCATGATCGAGAGTCATTTGTAAAAGCATTTTGACTGTAAACTGCCATTGCCTGATAAAGACTAGCAGTTAGCAGTTTGCAGTGCTACTTAGATCTGCTAATTACCCTCAATTTGGAGAAAAATGAATAAGTAAGTATCAATGAATGAATTTACATAAGGGCCATGCAAAGTTATATGGCGCATATATTAAATATGTTTGAAATTTTGCATTTTAGGCTAAGGTCTTGTGGAGGGAAGAAAGGAAGGAAGGAAGGAGGGACACAAATTGAACCAGAAGTGAGAGCCAAGTGTATTACTGCTACGCCAACTTTAAATGATTTGAATCTTTTATCTTGTCCTAATTAATACCATGTATRAATTTTGTTTTGAATTTGGCAGAGACATAATGGTTGTAAATTTGGGAGAGAAAATGGGATGACATGCAGTCATTCATCCTTCCACTTTCATCCCAGATTAAGAATCCAAAAGCTTCCTTATTTCCCCCATAAGAACACGATTCTAATTGACTTAGTATCGATATCATAGATTTACCTAGGGTACTTCTCTGTTGGAGGTTTCCATAACCCAATCTTACAACAAGGACAGTCTTCTAGCTTTTCACGTTCAAATGTCAAGGGCGGCAGACCATCATCGGGAACGCACTCCTCTTTCTTATAATACCGTAAACCTTTAGAGAATTCCAAATAATCCAGCCTTTCATTTTGATCTCTGTCTAATTTCTTGGCCAGAACATAAAGCTCTAAGTTGTTCGCTGGAGCATCCAAGTCTCTCATTCCWGCGTAAAATTCTTCGTAAGATAATTCCCCATCGCCGTCAACATCAAATCGACGGAATAAATCAATAGCTCTTGAGTAATTGTCTAACATCCATTTGTTCATACGAGCTACGAAGGCAGCATGGAGGTCTTCGGTGGCTTCAAAAGCTGCTGCAGCCTTTTCAAGTTTGTCCTGAAAAATTAGTTGTTGTTAGTGTTGGTCATTTTCTGATGTTTAAATCTTAATTCTATGGTTACTGATTTACAATTACGATAAGATCGCAAACCTTAGCAATATCTTCTTTACTTCTCTTCGGCTTGGCACTTTTCTTCTTCCCTCCAGATCTAAAAAATTCGAAAAATCAAAGAGAAAGAATTTGACAAACAAACCAGCTGTTTATTCCATCGTGATAATTATGAGAACTTTACTAATATTTTCTCCAATCAGCTTTAATTAGTAAACTCTTTGGACTCACTTTTTCCCTCCTTTCTTCTTTACTGGCATTTTAAGTTCATAAAGCTTGTCTTTGGGACAAAATAACGTCAAATTCAAYAACAAATTCCGGCAGAAATATTGTGATGTTTGAACTTCGAATTTCACCACCGAAAGCTTCTCAAGTTTCCCTTAGCAACTGTCACGTGACTCTAAAATTGGAAGGACGACCGAAAACTGAATATTTTTAAAGTCGTCGCATCACGACTTTTAACAAACAGAACGGATAAATAATACTTTACGTTTATTCTCATCTCATTTTTGTTACGATTTTGAACAAGACCAAAAAAAAAGAGGCACTGTTGCTAAAAACCACAGGAAGCCCAAATCCAACTTATTGCTTTGACCCAAATCATAAGGTCAGTTCTAACTATTTCTTTGTTTCATAACTAAATAATATAACCTCCTCAGGCCCTCTTTACCCCTTAGAAATTCCAATCTTTCTTGATGAGACGAGGTATTGATATTTTCTGGACTCTACACAGTAAACCCTGCCCGGACCCTCCCCRCCCCTCGGAAACTCCACTCCCCTCTGTGATGTAGTAGGTGTATGGATATTTTTTGTAGCCAATAAAATGACTCAACCATTTTGTAAGTATTCTGAATGTACATTTCATATTTTACATTTACATTTTACATCTGCTTGATTCTTTAGTGTTTACGTTTTTTGTAATCTTYTTTACCATCACTGTCACTAGGACTTGATCTTTTGTGATGTTTATGTTTTTTGTGATCTTTTTCACTATCACAGTCACTGCCATTAGGACTTGATTTTCTGTGGCGTTTATGTTTTTCATGATCTTTTTCACTGTCACTATCACTAGGACTCAATCTTTTGTGATGCTTATGCCTTCGTTTTTTGTGTCTTTTTTCTTCCTTTGATTTGTGTTTTTTATGTTTTCTCTTCTTTCTCTTTTGGTCAGAATCTTCTGAGTCACTTTCAGTAGTAGATTCATCCAAGAGAGATTTGAGCTGTGCTATTCTGCAAGATGAAAATTTCAATAAATGAATAGGTCATTTGCATGATGGCATTATTTGATTCCCACTACCCCTACCATAATGCTTGGCAAGTTTTCTTTCTTATTCAAATTTGTATTCCCTCGTGAGAATAGTTAGACAATTATTGCTAATTAACTGTACAAAAGAAAGTGTGCAAGGGATTCTCAGTGGCAGTTCCAGGAATCTTAAAAGGGGAGCAATGATTACAAAGGTTTTTCCAATAATGAGAGGAAAAGGAGGTGGCTTACTAAGGATAAAACTGAGAAATTTGAGCAAAAGGAGGTGGCCAGACCCACCCCTGATTCTGCCAGTAGTAGAAGTCAAATGATGCCATCATTCGATAAATGAAATATAATAAAATTCTCATAAATGGTAACTCAAAAAAGTCATTTGAACAAAAAAATACCTGCTTTCCTTTTCTGCTTTCTTATTTGATTCAATTATTTCATACATAGGRTCTTCATGAGCCTTGGATCAAAAGAATTGAATTTTTGTCAGTTTGTTTGTAAACATCCATACAGTGTCTAACTTTATTCAACAAAATAACTAAAGTAGAGGCTTTGTACCATCATTTTAGCCACCAGAGGTAGGAAAAATTGAATCTTTAGATGAGAAAGAATTCAGAGAAAAAGACTCTATTGTTGTGCCTTCTGTCATGGCTCCCATCACGTGATGATGTTAAGCCTCTATTATCAATATCATAACTTACTATTCTAAATTTCTCTGAGGAAAGATTCCCACTAATGAAGAGTGGACATTCTCTGTCTCCTGTCCTGTGCCCATATCTCTTGCACCTCCAACCTGAAAGAGTAATTTCTAGTTTTGTTAATTTTTAGCATCCCGAAAATTTTTTTGGAAAGTTTTTCAAAGTAAAGGGAAAATGCAAAAATGATCTTGAAGGGGTAAAATGGGAACTGAGATTTGCCATTAACTTTGTTGTGCTAGATTTTTGGGGGGGAGGGGGTGGGGGGAAGCTGGGAGCATATTGAATTAGTCTGTATCTCCTGGTCATAATTAAAGTCCTCTTCAATTGGGAAAAACATTCTTAGAATATTTTCTTTTTATTACACTTCATGACTTTGACTTCTTTTCCCAAAGGCATCCATAATCCTTTTGAAGGAGCTTCAGCAAGAAACTTTCTTGCTTCTTCATTTTCTGGAAGATCAGGAATACAATCCTCYGGTCTTTCAAATTCTTCCTGGAAAATATAAAACCAAGATTATGATAAGAGTTTATTTAAGTGAGATGATGATGAAAATGCAGGAAAAAGCTTTTTTTTCTTCACTTTTTTCTTTCTACTTTTTATTTACCCAACTCTTTTTTAATCTAATATTTCATCATTTTGTGAGGAAAATARAAAACCATTGAAACAACACTTCATTCCTCTGTAATTACAAACAAAATTGCTGACTGAATTCTTGCATATCACAAGTTTAGTAATTGATGGTTTTCACAGCCGCCATGTTGGATGAATTCAACAAAAGATTCGCCATTAGTCTCTTTTGTTATATCATCCAACGTGCCCACCATGTCTTTTGTTATTTCATTCTCTTGGAGATGATTGCAAACCAGCAATATATATAAGTGGTCTTATTAACTTCGATTACTCTCATAATAAGACATTGCCTACCTTGATTAATCCTGGTGGTGCCTGTTCATAACTAGTGGCAAAAAAATACCATAAGGATGGCATCAGTTAGTCTTACTTTGTCTCAAAAAAAGGAAACCAATTTCTTTGCCAACACTCATGTTTTGAGTTTTGCTTTTATAAATACACAGACCTTTTAAAGTCATAAAAAATCTCTCTAATCTAAAAAGAAATAGGTAATGCTGACACTTACAATATCTCTTTGTGTTTTATCAGTTCAATATCATCGTCTTCACTAGTTTTTCTCTTCTTACTCTTCTTGTCTCTTCTTGCCTTCTTGTCCGCCATTTTTGTTTTTCTTTTCGATAAACCGCTGTACACAAGTAACACAGACACAGGCAGCCCACGTATAATTTTTTAGTTTCAAAAGTTCTTCTCAAATAAAAGTTAACGATTGATTCATTGGATGTTCAAGGATGATATGACTCGTTTTTATATTTACTGAAATCTTGAAATGTTTTCGTGTTAAAAGGTTTTGTTTGTATGAAATATAGTGTGGGCTGCCTGTGGTAAAATTTCMCAATGCATTGTGGGATATAGTGAACCAAGATGGCGGCTGCCTTGATTGGACTTCGTCGTCTTGTAACAAGAACAAGCCTCCGTTCTGTCGTTGTTTTGCAGCAGAATTTTAAGAATTATGCAACCCAAGATACTGTGACACATACTGGACAGGTGAATGATGAATTTTCTCTTAAGAATCATTTTGAAATTCCCGAAAAACACTGTAAAAATAAGTTATTATATTTGAGATGACTTTAATCGTATTTTTATTTCATATATCTTGATGTTGCTCTCCCTTTAGGCTTGGGATAGTAAAGATTACAGGAATAAAAGATTCACGGATAGAAACAAAGAGGTTTGTCTGCAAACTTTTAGCTTTAAATGCACTTAATTTTGTACATTTTGAATATTTTTTTCAAAGCATCAGATAAACACYCTTTTAATTAATAGTACTGCTTGAGACGTTGTACCTTACTGCTGYTTTCGATATTCTACTAACTCAGTAGTTGCAAGCCGCACTCTAAAATTTGATTTTTCGCAGCTGTCAAACAAAAATAATCATTTAGTACTTTTGACATTTTTGACTTGCAGCAGTGAGAAACCAATTTCACAACAAGGTGTTGAAATGTTGGCATTCGCAGAACAACAAAAACTGTAGTAACTGAATGWAATGTTCATAAAGTGTTCACAACCTACCTTATTTCCCCCCCATATCCCAAATCACTCCAACTCCACAGCCCAACTGATAGAGAAAAATAYATATCAAGTTGTGTAGTATGAAACYTGTTCCACACTAGCATCGCAAGCAACATGCGTAGCTGAGTACTGCATTTATCACCTTGATGTGTTAAAGACTAGCACTGTTTATGAACAGTATACTGTACTACTGAGTCTGCACATGCTGCTTCCGATTCTGTAGTTGGTATGAGCCAGGCTTGAAGGGTGGCATAAGTTGCATGTGCTGTTATGGCCCTGTTCTCATCATTGTATGGTTCAATCCTGTGATTGTAATAATAATAAAAAATCCTTTTTAACCAGAGTGGCACTAAATGGCAAAAACTATGCTAATAAACCTGTGGCCCTCTAAACTGATGTGTTTGATGTGTTGTCCTCTCCCTTGCCACAATGGCTTTTCTCTTGGTTCTCCCATTTTCCTTTATCTGTGCATGTGCATTAGTGGAAGAACCCCTCATGGGGATGAAGGATTGTAAAATATAAGTTCTGTATAAATACATAAATATATATATTATTTTGCAAATGTTCTGCTTATGTTACCCTTGGATTCAGAGGTTGTTTGTTATTTGCTTTTGTTATCAAGTGCCGAATTCGCAGAAGTGAAAAACAAAATTACCTTGAGAAGTCCTGTCAGATTACAWACAAACGCCCGAGTGAGAATAATAAACTCTGGAACCCAGGGTGTGCTTATGTTGTGTGATTAACTTAATATTTTTGCAATAGGTTAATATGAATTTTGGCATCAATCTTGTTGCTGAGGAACCCCCAATTGAAGTCAAAGGAAGATCTGTTTATTGTGATGGAGGTTGGTATAATATTGTACCTGTAAAAGTGTCGTAATGAAGGCATAAAATAAATAATAAAATAAAATAAACTCGAGTGTTTACTGCTAGAGTAGAATGACAGTAAGCACTCTACTCTTTGTAACAACAAAATTGTGTTAGGGAGTACAGTACCAATCAACATTTGCTCTGTACTTATAATTTGTTGATACATATTTAGGGTGGATATGATAACAATACTCACAGTGTCCAGTTGACCGTGAAGTGATATTTTATTACTTCACTGATATAGGTTTTATTCACAGCTTTATGTTATGTTTAATAAACGAGCAGGAGTGTTTAATCGGGTATAAAACACGAGGCATAGCTGAGAAACTCATGATGTAAGTTCTCATATTGTACCGAATTCTTTACGAAATGAACCAAGTTTGATAGAGAAAATCCAAGTTAAAGTTTATGCAAATGAAGACGAATCTATATCAGATATAAAACCTCCTTCACGGTCATGACTTCTATTGTGTTTCCTTCATGAATTATTAATGAGTTTTTTTAACATACTGATATTGAAGTCCTAAATGTGTAATAAGTAATGTTTATTCCGCCTTAACAGGAGGAGGWCCTCTGGGTCACCCCAAGGTTTACATCAACTTGGTAGGTGTTGTCCTTACCATATTGGGTAGTTCCAGAAATTATCCATACCCTTCCTCTGACAGAGACATTTTTTAGACCCCACCACCCCTGGGGATTAAAGTTTTCTTTTTTACAAACTCTGTAATTTTGTTCTTTCTCTGACCCCCTCTACCCCTCAGAAATTCAAAATTCTCCTATTGGGGGGGGATAATTTCTGGAACTAAAAAATAATGATAATAATTTACTAATTTTTAGATCAACTTAATCTGGATGCTATTCAATCTAGATCTCTCCCTGAAACTGCGCAGAGCTTGGAAATAATGGCCAGTCAACAGACGATGTAGTGCCAAAAGTGACACTTTTCTGGTCAAATGTCTCTTAGGCCAGTCCACTCAAATTGGACAGTCGAATTTTCTGGTTACATGTTGATCAGTCTGATTTGGCCAGTCATGTCCAGCCATTCTATTTTAGCACTGAAGTAAAGGAGGCTTTTATCTCCTTGTGTCTCTCCCTTCTCAATAGCCATCATTACATATATAAAGGCTATGTTTTGTTCTAGGATCAAGATGGCCCTCATCCATGTGGATATTGTGGATTAAGGTTCATAAAGGCAAAGGATTCTCACTAAAGGATTGTAGACAGGTTGTACATAAAGAGCAATGTCAGAATTTGCAGGTTAATTCAATGAGGTGTTTGTAATTCAAGGTTATTAAAGTCATTTTAATTTTCATGACAACTATATTTTTCTCTTTTTCTTGCCAGTAAACTGTCTATGCAGCAAAAATAGTTTCAAACTACTCTGCTGCAATTAGGCACTTTAATGTCTAAAGGTGTGTCTCTACTAATAATTGCAAAAATATATTATRAACTTGGAGGTTTTAAGTAATCTTATAATGGGATTAACAGTGGATTCCTCAGTGGCTCTTCTTCCACTGAATTCCAATTGGAATTTAGAAGTTGATTTTTACGAAGGGAGGATAGCCGGAGATCCTGCAAAACCTTTGAAGCACAGGAGAGAACCAACAAGCAGCTCTACTCACACACAACACTGAGCTCATCGGGACTCAAACCCGGGTTGCATTGGTGAGAGGTGAATGCTCTCACCACTACACCACCAATGCTTCCCATTGTGCATCTTTACATTATAAGAAGCATTAATTACATAATTACAGTGGCATAGTAACCCTATGAAGATTCATTGTCAGGTGTTATATCAGCCGAGAAAACTTTAGTTGAAAATTGACAAATTTACAGACTGTCATTTGTATAGGTTCCCAATAGGTTCTCAGGAGATTGAATTATTTTGTTTTGCCCTCTACGCTATACCCCCAGACATAAAAATATCTGTAAATTTGTCAATTTTCAACTTAAGTTTTCTCAGCCRATATAACACTCTTGACATAATGAATCTTYGTAGGGATACTAAAGTAAAGGTGCTCWTTCMAGTGCTGGTATTGGTTTYTCTCTGTTTAATTTTAACTCAACTGAATTTGCGGCCACCATTTAGGCAAGGGGTCTATTGAGCTGCTTTGACGTCACATGCAATGGGTCTATTCCACACTGCAATAATTTGTTTTTAATCATTTGACCCTGTGGGATAGGTGCACAAAAAGACACAAAAATCCTAAAATACAACTTTTCTAAAAAACATTCTAATTAAAATACAATTGATAATTTTCATACAAATATATATAGTCTTGATGTAACACTCCRTTTCTATGATTTTTACAGTTCACAATAGACCTTGGTCATTATGTTTTCTTATTTATCTCAACAAGTCGCTGGGAACGGACAATTTGCAACCATTCTCACAAGTCAAAAGACAAAAACCAGGCTGTCATTATCATTATAGTAATAATATGGCATTATCTATCAGAAGGTAGCAACTCACTATTTGTCCAATCAGAAACCTTGAAATACCAGATACAAAATCAAAAATTGACATCAGTTTTTTATGTGTGTGTCCTTTTGTTGACAATAAATTGCGTCATCATATTGTCAAAGTAGTGTGGATCCAAGAGGCATAGCCGAGTGGATCTGCATTACTACTTTGATGTGATGATGCATTGATAAGAGGACCAACAAAAAACTAATGTCAATTTAGATGTAGTTGTCAATGGTATCTATTGTTGAAYGGCCAAAAATGAGTCACATGTTATATACAGGATTTGAAGGTTTTAAACAAATCTTTTCCAGGCCTAAAAAATAAGTAAAATATAACTGTCTTTATTTTTTTCTGTGTCTTCACAATAATTACACTTGGACACAAAACTCAATTAAATGGATCTTTAAGTATAAATGACACTAAATAACTGAAAAAATGTCCCTATCTTTAATAAAATAGATGTAAATTCTGGATTAACTAGATAACATAAACCTTTTCATCTATCCGTAATGCTAAAATAATTTAAAAAAATGTGAAACATGAAGTTATTTAACTAATTGAATTCTCTTTTCTCTATTAGAGTACAAACACTAAAAGTGTGCAACACTTTGCACTATTTAGTAGTAAATAATGCTAATTAAACAATAGAAAACAATAGGATTAGCATAATTTAGCAGTATTTAGTGGTATATATGTTACACACTAACTTAGTGTTTGTACTCTAATACAAGTTTCTTGATACAAATAATATCTGAATTGTTTTTGTCAATTTGTTTTTGTTATTGAAATATGTTTTTAACTTTGATCTAAGTTGGTTCATCTAAGTCCAGGGGGAGGGGGGCTCTGTTAACATTGGAGCAGTTTCCAGAGCTGTTGACTTGTTCTGAAAGCCCTGAGATAAGAGAACTGAGAATTCAAAATCCATAACAACAAGTTTCACAAACCTATTAAATTCTTTTAGCAGATTACTAAGGTGGGAAGTTAAAAATATGTCTCTTTAAAATATTGATATTAATTTGATAAGATAAAGCTGTCAATAAATTCTGCAAATTCTAAATTGTGGTATCAAAATTTTAGTTTTCTCAAGCTGAAGTTTCCCTTCATGTTATCATGAAATCATAATCATGCTAGGACATTAGTTGCTCTATCTGTGTAGTATAAAGTGATCGATTTAATGATTTCTTAACAGGAGTAAAACTATCTTGAACTAAAATTTTGTAACGTAAAATTTTTTGGAAGAATTTATAAATTTCACAACTTGCATTAACACAGTCTGTGTATATATCTTTAGACATGATAGACATTGCAATTTAATTTCACAGTAGTTGCAAATTCTAAAAACATTTTCAGCTTGAGAAAAATTTCAGTGTGTATCAACAGCTTTATAGGAAGTACAAGAGTAAACGCTACTTTCCACAGGGAACTGCGAGGTATTTTATTTATACCTCTCCTCCAAAATCAAATAATACTTCAGCTTTGTCGTGTCGCAGGCCATGTCATTTCCTTGTGAATTATTTCTTTGTTTACATTAATGTCAATGTAAGCCAATTGCACAGCCTTCTTTCCTAAGGAACAGACCTTTATCATGCAGCGSCCTTGTATATTTCCATAATAATTATTAAAATTCCTTGTTTCTACCCATTCAAACTCGTCTGGAAGTGCTTCAATGCAAAGCTAGGGGTCAAGATATTTTCCACCCATCTTTGGCTGCTGTGAGAGAAAGGTCTACGACACATGGTCTGACATAAGAAAACATTTGAAAGCTAAAGAGAAAGGTATATGATCAATTAACCTCAAACAGTTTGTGGTCTCTGCCAAACAACAAATGGCATTCTGGACCAGTCAATCAAAACTCTTGAATGCGGCACAACTTAGTGGTAACACTATTAAAAATTCCCACCTGTATGATATGAGCTATCTCTTTGCACACATTTATACAATTCTAATTTTCACTAGTTCTAGCAGTAATTTTGATAAATGTAAATGGATGATAAAAACATTACTAGCTTTCTACATGTATATGAAACATTTTTGGTCTCACTCTTCAACACTGTCAGCCACAATCATTTATAAGTTCAGGCTATTTTGGCAGCCTTGATGTAAAGTTATTTATTGTAATTTTTTCTATCTTTGATTAAGCAAAAAGTCCAAGGCGTGTTGTTTTTGCAGATAGGAATGTGTGGAGTACAAAAACGACTGGCTTTGGGCAGCCATGGAGGTCTAGTTCCTGAAAATATCAAAAATCAAGCTATGTATCAATACATGAGATTGGAATCCAATCATTTGTATATCCATCCATTCATGCATTTATTCGACCAGACATTAATCTACGATATATCGAGCCACTCATCCATTCACCACTCCATCTACCCACCCACCCACCCATCAATCCATCCACTTACCCATCCATTCATCTTTCCAACCATAAATTCATTGAATCAACTATTAATTCATCCATCTATCCACTGACACACTAATACATCCATTCAACCATCCATCTCATGGCATTCATTTATCCACCCATACCCATCCATCCACTTACACATCTATTCATATTTCCATCCATTAATTCATAGACCAATCTATACATCCATCCAACCATCCATCCACTCATAAATTCATTATCCATCCATCTACTGACCCACCCACCCACACAACCTCTAGTCAACATGGCATGACATTTTTTAATTCATTCTGCAATCTTCTAAATTTCATATACCAGTATTCTCACCTGTTCACCATCTTCCCCTCCAAAGTCTAACCAAAGTAAATGATGGCCATCATCGGCAGACATCTTGAGCCTTTCAAAGGGGAAATACCAGAAGGTCTGTGATCTTGTAGCATTATCACTACCTGAGCGAGCATCTGTAAGGGTTAGACCATTTTCATAGTGGACTGTTAATCGTGCTTCTTGTCCTTGCCACGTTACAGCTGAAAACAATGATGAAGTAGTTATAACATTTCAAACTTGTCAGTTGCACTGCACAATGCGCTGTCACACTACGCAGGGCTTAGAGCAACAGTTGCTCCATGGCCATATGATGACTGGCCAAAGTGGACTGATCATCATGTGACCATCAAGTGGACTGGCCTAGCTAAGAGGCATTTGGATGGACAAGCATAATTTTGGCAGTGCACTTTTCACAGTAATTTTGGTTTCGTAATTTTGAGCTGCTCTATGAAATGGATATAATCTTTTTTACCAATCATACTGCATAACATTAGTCAGCCAATGGAAATTCTCAGAAACAGTATCATCAAACCTTCCCCAAAATTGATCAGCTGAGAGGTTGTTTCAGGGTTCAATTTGTGAGTTAGCAGTGTCCTGACTTTGTTCAGCCCAGAGGTGTTTCATGGTTCGATCTGCGAGTTAGTCATGCCCTGAATTTAATCAGTCCAGAGGTGTTTCAGGGTTCAATTTGTGAGTTAGCCATGCCTTGACTTAGATCAGCCCAGAGGTTGTTTCAGGGTTTGATCTGCGAGTTAGCCGTACCCCGACTTAGATCAGCCCAGAGGTTGTTTCAGGGTTCAATAAACATTGGAGTTGATAACACTTAAGTTAGCTATCCTAATTCTACTTACCACAGTTGATTTCTTTGATAAGTATGGCAGCATCATGTGCACCTTGTACAATGCTGCGCGACCAATGTGCTAATTCTCTTGAAGTTTCTACTCTGAATAGGTGTGCTTCTACTCCTTTTCTTGATCCTGTTCTTGTGCCAAAACAAAGGTCTTGGTGCTGTATATGGTTATTCCCATGCCCAGAGTGTACAAGTCTAACATCATACGAAGAGTTAAAATATTTTTAATAACTGTGATAACTGAATCATAATTTCATACTGTAGTGACCATTTCATGTCTCTATTGGACAGCGAAACGTCGTTCTTTAAGAATCTTTCATATAAGATGTACTTTAGCAGGGCACGAAATTAACTTTTAAACCCACTAGCTAAACTTTGCTAGTAAGTCACTAGCGATCGGACGTGGTGAATAACAAGCTTTACTTGATACAGGTTCTAAACTTTTTAGTCCTTCAATTTCTGGACTGTGGTCATACTCGCAAAATTTAGTTAAATTTTTTATCACTTGCTAAATACAAAATTTGACCCACAYTTTGCGAGTTTTCAAGTGTCAATTTTGTGCCTGCTTCAGAGAACTGAATTGTTTAGACAACATGATAGATAAATGCACAGAAAAATGTCTGATAACAGACATTTTGACCGCGGTCAGGGTTTACCTTCCCTTCACAAAAAAACAACACAGCAATGGAAGGATGGCACACAGACATTGCTTGCCCACCTCCTATTATACCGCATCATTTCAGAAATCTAGTTGTCATCTGCACTGTCACCTAATACTAGCATATGAGATCAGGAACAAATACACTAGCTAGTACACTGTCTCCCAAAACATTTAGGTTCCAAAGTCAAAAATTGTACAGACTGTAACCTATGTCATACGGACACCGAAGAGCCAGAAAAAAATATACATAACATAGAGGTGTTCTTAATATAAAGGTCGGGTTTATGGAACAAAGAATGTATGGCTCTTTTGTATGCTCTGTAATAAAGAGGTGTAGTGCTTGTTGATAATATTATATTTGAAATGAAAAATCTAACCTTGTAGCAAGAAGAGGATGACTAAGAAAGGGTGCACTCCAGTCTTCTTTTGACCAAGGTGCTGCTTCGTAAAGTAACATATCTTTTTCTGTTAGGGCCATAAATACAGGCTTCCAGTCCATGCGACTACTATCGCCACCAAGGTGAACTTGCTCACTCAACCAGCCCATTGATTTTATCTCTCGATAACCAACACTACTACTGAGCATTTCGTTGACCTCTTCCGTTGCTGAAAGAAAAAGGTTTTGATGTATTTAGTTGCCATGGAAACAGACTTTACCATAAGAGGTTATTGCTTGGCACACATTTTACCTCAATCTTGGATGCAACAATACTATTATATGAAAAAAATTACAACTTTCTTCAATCATATGATATGATCAAGTACATGTATGTTTTGGGGGAGGGGGGGATTAAATGCTATACATGCAATCTAATCCATTAACATTATGCTTTTATTAACAGCTGCTGTCTCACTTTAAGTTTTTAACATTTTGGCATTGTCTTAACATTTTCATGTGGAAAGGTGAAAACTGATTCTAATAAGCAGGGTTTTTAAATACAAGCTTGAGTAAAGGGCAAAACAAAATAATTAGCTGGGGAGCAGCAAGCAAATATTTCTCTTGTTTTTTTGGGAAACTTTAGCCAAAATTGGTGGCAAGTTAATGTAAAATACCTGGCAAGATTTGCCAGCTGCTGGCTTTTATTGAAAACCCTGAATAATATGGCTGTGGTATTTGTGTGGCTGGAAAACACTCTCTGTATAAATATGGCTTTAGAAAACAAAATCATAAGTTCAATATTGTGGTTGAAGAGACGTAGTTAGCATGACAAGTACTGAGCGATGGTAAGTAATCACTGGTAACACTTCTTCACACTTCATTAGTGATTCTCAGGATTATCTCCTGAATTTGCTTGAAGATAATAAACCATAAATGGAAGAATGGAAACATCAGGAGAACATTAAAAGTGAATAATAACTAAACTACTCTTATAAACATATAATTCTTATTTATTTTGTAATTTTTTTAAAATTCAGTATTTTTATTTTTGTAAAGCCCTTTAGAATATGTTATAGTTTAAGCGCTATATAAATTCAATATATTATTATTATTATTATTATAAAACATCATCTTAAATAAATGTGAACAGTTAAATGGCTCAGGAAAGACTTGCGTTTTGGACTTCTTGCCTTTCTTGCATGATGAAAATCAAATACACAGTAGATTGGTTAATAACTCCTGTGAAGGAGTTATACATCAGTAATTAAAACTGACTCTACCAGGAATGACAAAATAAAAAGATGGAGTTTCTGCTTATTTTTACATCACAACAGGACAACACATCAAACTATGTTGTCTCTCTGCTCACGATACATGTCACGATACAATCACATCGCAATACAATCAACTATAAAATATGACTGAAAAATGCTTGTTCAAGTTCACTTGGATACATAAATATAAGCACTTTTCTCCTAAAACTAAGCATAGTTGTAAAAGATATTATCTTTGCCTGTAAGGTTTGTATCTGACCTTTGATTAATGGAACATTGAATACAAGAGCCACCTTATTGGATTACAAGTTAGGTGTTTCCATTATCCAGCTATTTGCTAATGCCATATAATCCTCCAGTTTCAACTTTTCTGGTTCTTAATCCAAGGTTTACCTTGATTATGTGTAGGATATTATAATATTCCAGCAAGGRGCTATCAAATTTCAAAGTGCTAGTAATGTTGAATTTGTGCATCCTTTACATTACTGATGGTACTGTGAATATTCTGAAATAAGGCTAACCCTAGGTAAATAAGTCTGTAATCAAGAAACACAGTGACTGCACATTATATGAATTTGAAAAAGATCTATTATCACATGAAACACTATACTTGGAACACTATTTTGAGCACTTAATTAGGATTATTTATCAAGAAATGAATGAAAAACACTGAAATTATTTTTTCTGGGACCCTGAGGCATTTTCTTAGGTCATTCCAGGATTGAAACATGATTAGAGTTTACTCTAACTGTGAACGTGATGGACTGATGAGATATCATATAATAAGATAATGATTTATGGTTGAAAATTGTCAGGCAGGATACAACTTTTTCCTAAATTTTACATTATTTTTGGTACAAAGTGTACCTTCCTTGACTGCTTTTACTGCAATAATATTCAGATTACTTTAAAATAATTTCAAAACACATAGCCCAAAAAGGGGAATTAATTCTTTTCATTTTGAAGTTCACATAATGATTAGTTATTGAACTTTAAATGAAAACAGTTGGAGTAAAAATGTTAAAAGATATTACTATGTCCACTACTTGAAATTCAAGGATTCTTAAATTTCATATTTTATTATATTATTATTTTATCTACAATTCAACTTTTCTGTGAAATTTAGATATAGATTTTTTTCGATTTATATTTCACATTAACTTTGGATTCATATTGCTCAGTTTTGATAAGAAATTTTACAGTAAATCCATATAAGATAATCCTTCATTTTTAAAACTTATCTATAATTTAAATTGTTTAAAGTAAAAGCTGTTACGGATTCATCAAGTAATGAAATCTCTATTTATAGTAATAGGATCTGAAAATGCTTCAACACAGTGGGGTACAACCATTAAACAATGAATCAAAATGAATAGCTTGAAACAATAGTTTTCAATAAATATATACATGAATCTCAAAAATGCAACGAATAGTTTTCATTGAGTGAAAAACATATAAACACTTAGGACTTATTGTGTTTGGAGATCTTTAAGTAAATAAGGTGGGGTAAACACGTTTAGGAGAAACGAGAGGCGAAGCCTGATTGTATCAAATGGTTTCAAATTTGCAACTTTTCTCTTTCATTAATCATGAAAACCGACAGCCTCTTATACAGAATGTCACTTAATAAGATTTCAAGATCTGGGGCCATTTGTAGTTTACCAGATCAAAACTCTCGAAATTTTCGTGATTTTTGAGCGTTATCAATATTATCTACAAATCCCTGAGGCCAGAAGTAAACTACACCCAAATAATGACCGGTGCTTTTAAACTTTATTAAATCTTTAAAACATCGTCTACCGACTTAATTGCAAACATGAATCCCTAGGAATTAAATGTTTACTTGAATCACACAGCCTTGACATCTAAGTTTTATCGTGAGGGAATTATCGTTGTAGGGGATAAGGATTAAGAATTAAGTACGGAATTGGAATGAATTTGAAGGGAAGTGAGTCACAGTACGTATATAGTAAAGCAATTACAGGGCTGAGTGTCTTTATATTAATTCGAGTGTTTTTCATCCTACATAGACAAACATCTACAAAACATAACGATCGGATATTTTTTCTACATAAACAGATAGAGGACGCACTTAAAATGCCTGTAAAAATAAACAATTCAAAAAGTATTCAGGTTTAGAGGGACTAGAGAAGGTAAAATGACCGAGTTGTTGGAGAGTTTTGCATGTGCATGAAACGATTGTAGTACAATATTTTGATACTAACCTGGAGCCAGTAACCGTGAGATATTCGTATGAAGAGCGTTAAACCATTCTAGGAAAGAACCATTGTCCTTGGCTTTCAATAAACAAGCGGATCGTCCAYCAGGGGCAAATAATTCCATCGTTCTGCCAGGGTTTTCAATCTTATTCGCGACGAATTTTGTAACGTAGCATAATTTCAAAGGGATATTCTTCACTTCACTCCAAGATGTCTTCCCTAAACTGTTCGTGTGGCCGTCCGAGCTCTGTTCAGAAGCAATTTCGGCATTTCGGTGGAAGTATGGAGTGACTTCTTTCACGTATTTGACTGTCAAATCAACTTCTTTGCCAGCTCGCTTCAAAGCACGTACTGCCTCGTCGTGCGTCGCATTCCTCAGGTCTTCCCCATTTACCGCCAAAATAGCATCGCCTATGTACAACCCTTCAGTCTGATCTGCTGCTAGGCCTTTGAATATCTTCGATATCAATATAGGCATTCTGTTTTCCTTGCCTCCTTTAATACTTATTCCAAGCCCGCCAACTTCTTGCTTGATGACACGAACTGTGCGGATTTCGTTAGCAATCGATTCTGGAGGTTCTGTTCGGTCATTTGGCTCCACCGTTCGAGGCGATGGTGGGGTTTGTGCCTCCCCGTTCGTGGTAGGTGCGCTTTCTACGTTAAGAGTTAGTAGATCATCGTCTAGTGTTGCTACAACCCGCTGCCAACCATCTTTAGTGTAAATCTCGAGCGATCCCGACGGAGATGCAGYCGCCATGTTCGATTTGTGCTTCACATTCCCCTCGTGCCTGTCTACCCAGAGTGCCTTGTTATCTAACCTTCTCAATATCCAGCAAGAGAACAGGGGAGGGGAGGGGATGAAATTACTCCGACAAAGCACCAACTTCTGAAATAGTACCATATAGTTGTAAACTTTTCCCTTTGTTGAATTAAACACGACAAAGCAGTCCAAATTAGTAACCGCTGGTCATTTTTTTACTTAAATTTGAAAACTTTATTTAACAAAATTCTGAAACAATAATTACATTATCAATACAACAATACAATACAATAACTTTATTTATACTTGAATTACAAGATAGCAAGTACATGCTAATATCTCCAAGTATCAATAAAAAATGAAAGCTCTAATGACAAGAACGATAAAGCATGTAATGAAAAAAGCATGGAATGAAACAAATAATCATTGATTATGTACAGGCAGTATATAAAAGAGGTGCAAAATCTTCATACTTGGAGTACATTCACTTTTAGCCTTGTGAACGATTTTTGATGTCATAAATGGAAATTCGAAAACGAATAACARTAAAAAACTGAAGGTGAACTATGACATTATGAAGTGTGCACTGTAGCTGCACTTTCATGATGTTAATGTTCATATCTCAGCATAGTTCAAGTCCAGGTCATGATAACAACAACAACAAAACTAAATCAGTCTGTACTGCGTATGTATAAAGCGCGGCATTTTTCACTGAAATATAAAGCTTAATATCTTCTTCAGTATCTGATTTGCGGGGAGGTTTTCTTAAACTCTTTCACCATCTTGACCAATTGTTCAAGTCCTTCGTACAGCCCATCCCCTGTTTTTGCACAGGTCTCCTGAACATGCCAAGGGTTTTTCTTGTGAGCGGAAAGACCAAGTTTCTCAACCATCTGACTTGCGTTCATAGCTGCAGGAAGGTCTTGCTTGTTCGCCAAGACGACAACGGGAACTCCAACAAATTCTTCTGAATCTATGACTCCAAAGAGTTCTTCTCTAGCTTCAGCAATCCTTGTGATATCTGAGCTATCAATCACAAAGATTAGTCCATTTGTGCCCTGATAATAGTGCCTCCACAAGGGACGGATCTTCTCTTGTCCGCCCACGTCCCAGATGGTGAGAGTCAGGTTCTTCACCGGTGTCACTGTCTCTACATTGAATCCAATGGTTGGGATTGTGCTGACATTTTCGTTGAGCTTCAGTTTATACAGCACTGTAGTTTTCCCTGCAGCGTCCAACCCGAGCATGAGAATTCTGGCTTGAGTATTTCCAAGTTCCGAAAATAAATTCCAAATTTTTGACAACCACAATCCCATTTTTCGAACTAAAAATTTTCTGATTTCCCTCGTAGTAGTTATACTAGTTTGTTGTTTCTTCTCGCTATTCCAGTAGCTCTTTGAATCTTATCAATAAAGTCCTCACTTTTATAGCGTTAGCATGCCATGCTAAATTTTTGGGTATAATTTTTGGTTTCGGAAATTTTTCATACGTGTAAAAGGTGACGTACCGGAAGTAGTCATGCAGAACATACAACATCGTCAAAATATACTTCATCATTTAATAATATTATAATCGGTGACTCACCAACCTAGATGTAAATTCCTCCACAATTAAAAATTTAGCATGTATAGGTTTTGAGAATTTTTTGATATGTTGGAATCCATGCACGTTTCCCGAATGCTTGGTGATGAAGAAATAGCTTTACACGCTGGCAGGTTTGGTAACTTAGCAACATTACCACAGGCAGCCCAAATATTAATGAAAGTTGGAAAATGGAAGGCCAGTCTCTCCACGCTACCTCACCCTGCAACGGAGGGACGTAAAAGAACCACTGACGACGTCACCACCCTCAGTGACTGGCCTTTACTAATGATTTCTTAATGGGAGGATTGTGGGATGGGTATAGGGATTTTACGGGGTTGGAAATTGGTGCTGTACCTCGAAGGGCAGCACCAGCACTAGCAGCACCAGCCTGCGGGCCAAAAAAGGGTCTCAAATAAAAGAGATTTTGCCGTAAAGTGAAGTATGAAGGTAAAAGCGTATCTTAGTATGTTCATGGTATTCAGTTTCGCAGTAGAGAAACTTGAAAAGATTATTTTTTCGAGGGATCCCTGGCAAAAGGGATTCCAAGGCCTCACTGAGTCTTTATCTAACCTTTCTTATCTTTTT